ACTAATGTGTGTGTGTGTGTGTGTGTGTGTGTTTCTCTGGTTCGTGGTCTCTCTGGTCCGTGTGTGTGTGTGTTCGAAATAAGCCTCTCATTTGATGTCTGCCTGCTGCTAAATATTAAGTATACGCCTTGAGAGCACTTGTTTGCCCAGGGTACTTGTAGGGGCCAGGGTGCTTGAGTGCCCAATCCACCCTGAACCATCTTCATAACCATAAACCCACTTGCTTCACACTTGAATTTCTTCCCTTCTGTCCCCCGCCCAACCCAACCCACCATGCCACAACAATTGTGAACTTAACTGTGCCGTCTAACCATTTGCTAACCCTCTAAACCGTCTACCCGTCTGGCAGTCCAACAGTCGCTGCTCCTTGGCAACCCTCTCTCGCTCTCTCTCTGGTTAACAGACAGTTTAACTTAATTACAGGCTCCGCTAACTGGCGCTGGCGCCCTCTCACCCTCTCTGTCATCCGTCGACACATCAGGCGTAAATGAACGGAAATGAATTCATAAAATGTGAGCCAGGGCAAAGGCAAGTGCGTTGTGCAACGTGACGCAACGTTGCGCGTTTAAAAGTGTAAATAATATGTGGCATGGGGCAGACGAAGTTGCAGGAGTCCTTCTATGGCTGCCTCTGGATTTGCAGTTGTGCAGCATTGAAGTTGCCTACAGAGTTGTGGCAGCCTAAAATTAAAAAAAAAAAAACATACACACACACACACATTTTGAATACAGGCAATGAACAAAAAGGGCTGCAAAATGGCAGCAGTTTGCAAAAGAGTGCAGAGAGGGGGCAATGGTGGTGGCGTGTGGTGTGGCAGGTCACACGGTGTCACCAAATTAAAACCAAAATAGCAACTGCAACAGCGCGAACTCTTGTGAACACCCTCCCCCTGCAACAGTCGTCATGTGTGTGTGTGCGCGCCACAGGAAGTTGCATTCAAATTCGTTGACATTTAAATAGTTGCAGTGCTTTGTAAATAACGAAAAATTTGCACAAAGTTACAGCACCCATACCCATACCCATTCCATATTCCCAATTCCCAACTGCCTATGGCGGCTGCCAGCTAAGATCCTGTTAACTGCAAATGGGATTTGTTTACTCATAGTGTTTAAATTGCCATTAAATTAAATATAGCTAAGCCCAGGGCTTATACGTTTAGTGGTGTGGGCGGCCATGCAGTTAAATCTGGCTATTTAAACTAAAATTAAAGTTCTTTATGAATTTCATCTGTGGCTCTGTGCCCAGGCAGATACAGATGCAGATGCTTTATTTTCCACGAAATCTCTTAATCATACTGTTTAAATTCCAATTAACATGATTAGCTGAGTCATACAGTTTAAGTGTGGAAAACTGGCGCAGCAAAGTTACCTGCTGCCTGCTGGCTAGATATTTCCATTCGCATGCTGCCTGGGGCCATTGCGCATTTAAATTCCAATCACATTCGCTCAAATGGTGGCTATGGCTACAATCTTTCATCATTACTTACTCGAGAGAGATTGTGAGCACAAAAAGAGAAAAGGTTTAACCGGAGGAAAACTTTGCAGTTTGCTTATCTTTGTTGCTTGTTGCCTGCCTGCCTGCCTGTCCGTCCGTCTGTCCGTCTGTCTGTATGTCTGTATGTCTGTATATCTGTCGTTACGTGCGCCTGTCATCCCGGATTAAGTGCGTATCCTCGAATGCTCATTTGGGCCTTTGTTTGGTGGCCTCCAAGTTGTTGCCAACGAACTTTGGCCCCCAAAAAGTTACCTTTTCTCAGCAAACACACGCACACACACACGCATACACTGTGCTCACACATGTGAGGCGACGACGCGTATAAAAGTTTTTGTTGCATCAAATTAGGCGCGGCATAAGGAAGGGTGTCCCGTGTCCCATGGCCCGTTCGCCTTCCTGAAGGGAGCAGCAGCTGCGCGCCTGCCTCCATCGTCTTTAATCAGTGGCGTGCGCTCGTTTAACGCAAATTAAATTTCTGTTGTGTAAGAAAACTCCACTCCACATTCACTTCCACTCCACTTCACTCCCATCCATGATTAACGAATTTTCCTTTTAATTTCCCTCAAGCTTACGCACACACATACACACTAACACACACACACTAACACACACACACACAAGGAGCAAAAGAACATATATGTATGCCAGGCACTGTACTTCCTGCATTTGTTGATAAGATTTTAACACGCCGCGTAGGTTTTCTCGCAACAAGCCGCCCAAAAAAAGTTTTCTCATCCGCCGCTGGCTGTTTTTTCCCATCTCCCATCTCCCCTGCCCTTCCCTTCCCTTCTCTGTTGCCATTCGAAAGACAAGAAGAAAGTTGGGAAAGCCAGGACCCTAATGCGCGTGGAAAGGCTTCCAAGGTGTGCAAGGGAAAGCCCAGGAAATCGTCTAAAGCCTTTGGCGCACTTTGCAGAACCGTAACAGAAACGAATACCCTTGCTGGCATTCGGGGCCCTTTAGGTGCTCGAAGTAAGTGGGGTGGGCGGGGGCACTTTAGTTCTGATTCATAGATTCTAGAAACATAAAATAACCAATAATATTTCCATAGAGGATTTTCGTATCTAGTAAATATTCCTGCAACATTTTTGCCTTAGAGTATAGCCCCTGTCTGTCATATTGCTGCCGCGACAAATTATAAACTTCTTTGCCACTTTTTTCGGTTTGTCTGCAGAGTTGCAGAGAGCGAGACAAAAATCTCCAAAGCTGTCTCAAAATTTCAGCCAAAAAAAAAAGTTTTACGAAAGTGGGAAAAAACTTCCACGTCTCTGGGCCGCTGGCATGGCGGGGTATCGGACGGGACGGGATGCGATGGAATGGGATGGGTGTAGAGGGTGTGGCTGTCACATGAGCGGCAGATCAACAGATTAAATGAAAGTTTTTGTTATGTATTCTCTGTCGTTTTGCCACATTTGTTACCGTTTGCTGTTAATTCCCCAGGTAATATTTAGAGGTATGCCACACAGCTACACAGCTACACATGACGCATAAAGCATTTTAAATTGTTGGCTGTCATTTGGCATAAAAGGCTCGCTGATTGCGGTTAATGATGACACCAGAAGATAAAAAGCAACAACAAAGGGCATAACGGGAGCATAACTGGAGCACAGGTTGGGGATTTGGGGGCTACCAACGATAAGGCATTTGACAAATGTGCACTTTTTAACACCTTGCGGCGGCAGAGCATCCTGTGCGATGTTGCTCCTGTTGATGGTGATGGCGTGATTGTCTCTAAGGCTTTCTACATGCAATTAAGATTTTTTTAAATTGCCTTACAGCGGCTACATAATGGATAGACACTCGTTAATGGGTTTCGCACAGAAAAAAAATTCTAATCGAAGCTCTAACGCAATGAATTTGCTTCCTTATGGATTGTTTAATCTCTGGAAATATAAAGATATTAATCTTAATGAGAGCTGCTTTCTAGAAAGCAGAGAGCTTGCTGTTGTAGGTTTCTTTTCTTTCATGCACATAAATTTATGCACAACCACACCGATGGGATTCAAGTCATCAGCTGTCCGAACGAGAGCTGCTAATAACAGAAACAAGGCGACTGGGGGGCTTGTGGCATGGGGCATGGGGCACCTACAGAACACAGGCCGACACATGACAAGTGCACTCTATGTCTGTGGGAGCACACGTTGCCTGGGGTGGGGTGGGGGAGGGGCATGTTGCTATTGCGTTTAGCTAACACCGACTGTCAGTGGCGTGAACAAGTGCTGTGTTGAAGTATACCGTTCACGTTCCGCCACACACGCACCACACACTGGACTACGTGAAATTGTTTCGCCCCTCCCCTACACGGTGTGTGTACATGTTTGTATGTGCATAAGAGAGGATTATAATGTTAAGAGGGGGAGATCGAGAGAGAGAGAGAGAGAGCGAGAGTATGAAAGTGTAAATGTCTGCTCATGACATTCATTTGAAGAACAAGCACTCACATACGAGTGTACGAGTATATCTGCATACTTCTCAACGCACATCGCACATCCATCCAAATATTCAACAAGCTACATTATTGTCATTATCGCATGACGGCTTCAAGGACGCAGCCAACTGGAAACAAGAAAAACGAACACACACAGAGTGAGAGTTGTGTATATAATTAAGGAGACGCCTCTTACTCTTCTCAAGCACAAATCCTGTAACCGCACGAACCGCACAATCAATCTCAAGTTGTCTGAGTGGATCTCCATCGCCGTCGCATACGCCCACTCCTTGGTAAGAGCGTTAAATAGATTTATCACCAAAGTATTTTTTTTTTTTTTGTGCAAAGCAATTTCTTCGACTCAATAATAACTTCAAAGGTAGTGGGAGTGGTGGAGTGCTCTCATCTTCTCTATAGCCACGACAGCTGTCGCCGTCTTTCGCTATTCTGTAATAAACAACAAAAATCACGTATACGCAGCGTGAAAGCCTGACTGCCTGACTGCCTGCTGTAATTGAAACTATTTACTTTCTGGCATTTTCATTAAGGGCAATTTTCGTTGAAATTTAACGCACTTCCCTGCAAATGGTGCCAGTGGGAAGGAGCCAGGCCAGCCGCTGTCGGGCAATGCTAATTACTTGAAAATCAATTGTCGCAATTCATTTTGAGCGCTCCGGTTTCCGGCGTACCCCCCCTGGTATACCCCGCCCCCTCCTCTGGCTGCTGGAGTGCTGTGTAAAATTAAGTATGTTAATTTAAATTTATCGTTCCAATGATTTTCATTTCCTTTTTGCCAATCCCAACTTGCATATTTCTTCAAACGGATATTTCCTCTCTCCCTTACTCTCCCTCTCTCTCTCTCTCTTACACTCTCTGGCAATGATTTTTGCAAATGGCCTTAATGAAGGCGTAGGAGGTGGCAGCTGCTTTACCCCTGTCTTCAGTTTTTGTGTCTCCTGCCGTGTAATCAACGCCAACGAAAGCCAACGAATCGCCCTTGCCATCAAATTAGCAAACGTCGCTAAATTAGTAGGCAAAAAAAAAGTGTATAAAAGAAAAGAGAAGGCAAAGAAAAATTGGATTCTATTTTATTCCTGTGGTTAGGCCCTTGTCCTTGATATAGGGTTACAAATGAAGCTATAATTTGTGGAATGAACATGATATATGAGAGATTTTGGGTCTGATTTTTCCATGGCTACAATTACTCACCTCACCATCTCCCCTCCAATCATCCTAACAATGGGGAAACCTGTTTTTATCTGCAAAAAAAAAGAAACTTATTTTTACAACTTTTCTATCCATTTGCTAAATGCTTTTTCCCCTCCCCTCCCCACTTTCTGTTCTGTTTCGCTTTACCTTTCCTCTTCTCTATGCGGCTCCTTTTTTTTCCTCTTCTTTATTCTGCTCATTTTTTTTTTTTGGCCAGCAGCAGCCCCTGGGACTCCCCCATGCAAACATTTGAATTTAGTTTTGATTTTATTTGGCTGGGATACTTTTCCCGTTTATCAATTCCTTTGTGTATTTCCAAAAAAAAATACGATTTATTCTATGGTTTTTAAACAAATTAAGTTTAGTAAAATTTGAAATGCTTATACAGGGTACATAATGCTGCGAACATCCCTGCTTTGTGTGCATAGTTTTAGTTCGAAACTTCAGTAATGGGCAGAATGGTGTCCAGGCATTACGATATGCTTTTCTGTTGCATTAATTTTTCTATGCGATTGCCGCCTGGGAAATCACAATCAGTTTTGTGTGTGTGTGTGTGTGTGTGTGTGTAATAAAAAGCCAAATTGTGGTTTTTATGAAAAAAAAAACTAATATGCTTTTTATCGGTGGAATTCATTTGGTACTTTTGACACCATTCAAAATTTTACAAACAATTGCACAATTTGCCAGGCAATGGCTTCCAGTAATTTCCTGATGAATTTTTTAACAGAGGCAAAAGCTAAACAATTTAATGACTTGGTTGGAAAATCAATTTTTATATTTTATTACTCCGACTCTCGACACTCGACACTCATTCTGCCACCAAGGGTGTGACATATATTTTCACACATAAAAAAAAAGATAAAAAACTGGAAAAACACTGGGGAGAAATGAGAGGAGAAAGCCTGTCTAAGTGCTCTCACATATGCTCTCCCACTGCCCCCCTGCTCCATTGTGTTTTTGAGGATTTGAGCCATATAAATGCAAATGGCTTATGAAAATAATTTGACAGTAAATTACAAATTTATGGTAAATTGCATATTGAGGGATTTTTCTTCTCGTTGCCAGCTGCCATCTGCCGCAGCCGTAGCCGTAGCCACAGCCACAGCCCCAGCCCCAGCACAGTTATCCCACTTAACCGCATTCATTATTATTGTGGTGTAATAAAGGCACGCGTTTCCCCTTCTTACCTGTGCTTCTACGCACTCCAACACCCCCCTCCCAGCTACTAGGGAAGGCCTATGTACCTCCTATTTGCCTCCTGGCAGCTGTGTAAAATTTTCTTTATTTCTTATCAACTTGATTGCGTTAAATGGAACATTTTCTCTTTCTTTTACATTATACTTTCGTTTTTTTTTTTTTTAATAATTGGGTGTTTAAGGTGAACAATTTTCATTCTTTATGTTGCAGGAAATGATTAAAAAGGCGAACAAAGGCGGGGAGTGGAAGAGGCTTAAGTGCCATGCCCATGCCTTCGTTTTTTTTTTGTGTTGCCAATGAATGGAGAATGCTCGCGGTTGCAAGTGCACTCGACTGATTATTGTATAAATGCAAAGGAATTTCCAAATGAAAAGCCAGCGGCAAAACAAAAGGCGGGGGAAGGGTGGGGAAAATGCATTAAGCCCCATATCACAGAAGAGCTAAAGCGGGGGGGTAGGGCTGGGATAATTGCCAGCGAGGAAACCAATCCACTGGGGAGTGCTACTACAAAATTAAAAAATCAATTCTTATTGTCTCTTGGCAAAAGATTACCATAAAGATTCTTAGGTACAGATACTTTCACTCACTCCACAATTTCCCATTTCTGCCACAGATTTTTAAATGCATTTAAGCATGACGCACCTGCTTATGCGATTATGTGGCATCATCTGGTTACTTGGTTTTTTTTTTTGCTTTAAATCATTCAATTATTATTCAGTTGAATGGATCGTATTTATGCCTCAGCTACCACCTGATGTTGCACTTCCGAACAGCCGCCACATGCATTTACCCGTAACCCTTTTCCATTCGGGGGAAAACATAAGAAACACAGGAGACATAAAAGTAAGTCGGTTGAGCTCTTAATGCAATGAGTATTCGTTTCTTTTCAGTGCAAAATGAATCCTGGATTTAAGTATACACTCGACTCGTCTGCAATTGAAAGTGTGCCCCAAAGTGGGTCCGCGGAGTAAGATGTCCTGAATTTTAAACAACTTGGAAAAGAACAATTGAAAAGCAGCGGACGTGGAAACAAAGCGCTGGAATGAGACCCAAATAAAATGGAGGAAAAGTGTAATTTAATGACCAACAAAGGAATACTCTAGTACTTTCACCTTTCACCAAGGCGCAGAGCGCGCTATGGGTTGGGGGGAAACAATGCCAAGTCAGCTGCAACATCTCAGCGCCAACAGAACCAGAACCCCTGCCCCTAGCACGAAATTGCATTTTTCTCGTTATCTCTCTGTCTCTCTCTCCCGCTCTGCTGCTGTCTCTCTCGCATATCTATACATACCCCTTTCTGCCACACTCTTGCTCGAAAAATTCTCTCCTTAGAATCTTTAGCCACGGACAAAACCAAAAAACGAGGAAAACGTACAAAGTTTTCTTTCGCAATTTGTTTTGTTTGCTTCTTGCGCTCTCCGTTCATTTTGTAAACAGCATGGAAAATTGCACAAAACTTTGCCAACCAGCACAAAAAACACCAAAGTTAAAGGTACTTCGCTTTCTCTACTCCCAAGCATTGGATATGTCAGGGGGCATGTTGCAGCGCCTCGGCAGCTGGCAGAACCATAGCAACCAAGGCTGCTGCTATCCTATCTGGCCTTCTCGATTGATGGACAAACAGACCGAATGACCGATGCTGCGATGGTTTTCAATGGAATTGGCCAAGACAGCCAGCACAGCTGGAGGTTGTGTTGATACACCTGATACATTTCCACAGCGCCAGATTCGAGCATAAGAAATTGCATTTTTCAAAATGGAAATTGACTTTACTTTTTTTTCGGATTCTAAGGAAAAAAAAAACAGACTTGACCGAACCCCAGTTTTTACAGGGTTTCAATAGTTCAGAATTTGCAAAATGTTTATTATGGTAGCAAGAAAGTAACTTAAATCTGTAGCAAAGATTATAACTGTTCAGTTTGAAAGCCAAACAGAAACAGAGCAAAGGCTACATAGAATAAAACACTTGCAAGATTTAAAGTGAAAGCGGAATCTGCGCTCTGTGTGCCTTTGCTGCTCTTTAGATTGCGCCCAAAGGGAGTGAAATTTAAGGCATCCTCTGGAAAAAATTAACTGCTGGAGCCCTGCTGTGGCATGGCGGAAAAAAAGCTCCGCTCCAAGCCATGTGGGTAAACCAAAGTGGCCAGACATGCATTCAAATGCCAAGCGAATGGAAGTTTTCTTTTTTATTTAGTTTTGTGTCAGCAACTGCACCACTCCATGGGGTCGGATCGGGTCGTCTTTGCTCAGGCGTTAAATTCGGTGCATAGCCATTGCAGTGCCAGACACTGCCGAATGTATCTCAAGTGGAGTTTTTCTACTGTGAGAAATCCTGCAGATGTTTCGGGAGCAGCAGCAAGCAAACTTTGTGGATTCAAAACAAAAAGAAAAAAAACAAAAACTTTTGTTTACCGTTTGCCCTGCACTCGGATGCTTAATTGAAATTGCATGAGAAATGATTAATTTACCTGAATATATCTGAGTATGGCGGAGCGTAAGGCCGTAACTGGCACGCCACCTGTCATCTGTCATCGCCGATTGCCATTGATGTATCGATGGAAAAGTTATTAAGTGAAAATATTTATTCCCCGCCCCAATCGATGAGTAAACAACATCCTTTCATCATCAACTGTTGCAGGATCAAACTTTATTATTTGCCCCACACCCCAGCCCCCTCGCAGCAAATTTCAGGCTAATGAAAGAAAGTCTTTCACAACGCCGACACGTTTTATTACAGCGTTTGCATTGCGACGCAAGTCGAAGACAGCAGAAACAGCCAGCCAGCCATCCGTTTGGTAGCATCGCTTGAAGCGACAAAGGACGACATTCCGTGCCGTTTCTTTCGTTTGTTTGCTTCTTTTTCTAACTTTTTTTTGGTGTAATGTTTTCTTTGGGCGCCTCTTTTATTATTATATCCGGTTTACGTGGCGTATGATGAACACGTCTATTGGTTGTTGCGTTGCTACTGGCATTCCGCTCCGCTCCCCCCCCCAAGAGGTGTGTGCTATGTATGTTTTTTGCCTTATTGAGTTTTCGGATATGAAACGCACACAAACACAAAGGCGCACGTGTGCCTGTGTTTGTTTTTTTTTTTGGTGCTTGTTATATTTGACTCCGTTTTAAAGTGGCATTCAAATCTACACAAAAGGCATCGAGAAACAGAACAAACGAATCTCGTCGCCATAGTAACTAATCGGAAACTAACATTCGATTTGCAGCAGAGCCAACCAGAGCCCACCAGAGCCCACCAGAGCCCAGAGTCAAATCTGAATTGTTGCCCAACTGACATAGAAAAGAGGCTCAGGTGCCATATAGTTATATATGAGAGTTGCATAAGTTATTGGGTGGCACTCTGTGGGGTTCAAGAGAGGCAGACAGCCAGCAGTGCGAGTCACGCACCATCCCACCCCTAGGGATATGTTAAGCCCCGTTCTGACAGGCAACCCATCCAGTGTAAAGCATAGACAGGACGACGCATGTCAGGGATCACGGGTGTATGGTGGCACAGATAAAAGTAAAAGAAAGATACCGTGGCCATTAATGACATGGCGATAACTTTAATTTTTCATTTTGGCAGGCGACGAGGTACGCATATTGTTGCCATTTCCGCTTCCGGTTGATGGGTGACACACGTACACGCATCTCCGGGTTTCCGGGAGGGTCGCGTCGCGTCGCCGTTGACACTCGACAATTACAACACGTGCTTGGGGATTTTTTTTTTGGTTTGTTTGCTGCGTGCCATGCTTGTTTGTTCCTCTTCTTGTGGCATCAACATTTTAGGCACAATTCAGTCGACAACTTTTGCTCAATGGCGTCTTAAATCACACAGACAGACACACACACAGGCACAAGCATTCACAGTTAGTGGAACATTGGGGGGCGGGGGTGCACTCCTAAGTTCCTACCGTAAAATATTCAAATTAAAAGGACTTATGTAGGCACTCAATGTTACCGCCATTATGTTACATTGTTGTCTGCCA